TTTTTTTTTTTTTTTTTTTGAGACAGAGTCCCATTCTGTCACCTGGGCTCTAGAGTGCAGTGGCCTCATCCTAGCTCACTGCAACATCAAACTCCTCGGCTCAGTGATCCTCCTGCCTCAGTCTCCCAATGGGTAGTTGAGACTGTAGCCAGCCATGTGCCACCATGCCCGGCTAATTTTTCTATTTTTAGTACAGATGGGGTCTCACTCTTGCCCAGGCTGGTCTTGAACCCCTGGGCTCAAGCAAACCTCCTGCCTCGGTCTCCCAGAGTGCTAGGATTACAGATGGGAGCCACATTCTTGAGGCCTCCAGATTCAGGTGGGCAGCAGGGTCCTCTCGGTGCCCCTGTCCACCTGAGATTTAGAAGCAGTGATTCCAGAGGACGGCCCATCTAGCAGGCAGCTGAAAGCTCTACTGCCCAAATGATAGCTTTGCGATGGCACATGACTTAGGGCAAGTGTTGTGTACTTGCTGGTCTGGGTTCGCTCAGGCACTGAGGAAGGGGTCACAGCTCTCCCCTGGGTGACAGCATCAAAGGCCAGCTGGGAGTAGGTGACCTGCTGTGGTCCTGTAGCTGCAGAGGCCTGGGGAGGGAAGGGAGGTGATGAAATGGTGGTGTGATCAGAGGACTAAGGGATCCTTGGGGCTGGGACAGAGGAGGGACTTCTTACCAATCCAGCCTCTGGCTGCCCCTCTTTCCTGGCAACATCTGGAAGGAGGAGGAGGTTGTTATACACCACGTGTTTTTGTCCCCCGAAAATTCATGTGCCGAAACCCTAACCCTAATGGGTTGGCATTTGGAGGTGGAGCCTTTGGGAGGTAATTAGGTTTAGATGGGGTCATGACGGGGTTTGCTTGCTTATAAGAGGCCAAGGCACTTGTTCCCTCTGTGCCATGTCAGGATGCCAGCCCCGTCCTCTGATTTTGCAGACAGGAGCTGAGGCTCAGGAAGGCTCGTGGTCACAGGATCAGCCAGCACAGCCACCCACGCCTCGGTACCCCCCCTCACCCCAACCCCACCCTCAGCAAATGCCCCGTCCCCATTTCCCCTGTTTGGTTTGCACCACCAGGGTCTCTGCGTGGGGTCTCCCTGCCCTCTCAAGGACATGCCGGCCTGGGCTTTGTGCTGGTGGAGGATGAAGAGGAGGAGGAGGACGGTGAGGGTGAGAAGAAGAGCTGCTACTCAGACGCCAGTCAAGGTGTCGCGCTGTTCCTCCTGGAGGCTCGGGGCGTGAGGCGGAGCCGCCAAAAGGAAGCGGTTTGGCTTTATGCGACACCTCCAGCTCTGCCCGGTTCCTGCAGGCTCCCACAAACCCTGGCCCCGGCTCACAGCAATGGAATTGTTGACCCTGTTTCTTTGGAAAGAGAAATGAGCTTTGACCACCTTGTCTACTTGCTCAATGTCCTGGATGAGAAAGGAAATGGGGCATTTGTATCAACCTAGAGTAGGGAATCAGCAAATCCTGGCCTTCAGACTCGACCCGGCCGCCGCCTGTTCTCGTACAGCCCACGAGCTAAGGATGGACTTTCCATTTTTAAGTGGTTGACACAAATCAAAAGAAGAATAACATTCTGTGATGAGAGGCCGGGCACGGTGGCTCACACCTGTAATCCTGGCACTCTGGGAGGCCGAGGCAGGAGGATCTCTCAAGGTCGAGTTCAAGACCAGCCTGAGCAAGAGCGAGACTCCGTCTCTGTGAGCTAGGCTGATGCCACGGCACTCTAGCCCGGGCAACAAAAAAAAAAAAAAGTCTATCTCCAAACCCCTGTGATCAGGAGAGGACTGTCCAGGATGTCCTAAGGTCTCCCATCTCACTGGAAGCTGGGAAGGAGGATTTCCCTCAGTTTGGGTTTCCGCTCAGTGTTCCCTTCTCTGCCTTCCTCTAGGAGAAAGGCAAGGTGTGGAACACTGGACTACTTGCCTCCAGAAATGATCGAGGGGAGAACATATGCTGCGAAAGTGGATCTGTGGTGCATGGGGGTGCTCTGCTACGAGCTGCTGGTGGGAAATCCACCCTTTGAGAGCGCCTCCCACGATGAGACCTACAGACGCATCCTCAAGGTGGGATGGTTACACTTTGGGCATTCGTGGAGGAGCTGGTTGGCTGCTGGGCCTGTGGGGACCAGGGCACATACACAAGGTTGTCTACTAAGGTCCAGAGTACCTTGAAGGGGCTGGAAAAACAAAAACAAAAACGGGAAGAATATTGACCAAAGAAACTAACCAAACTTCTCTTTCTTCTTTCCTGGCTTCAACAGGTAGATGTGAGGTTCCCCCTATCAATGCCTTTGGGAGCCCAGGACTTGATCTCCAGGCTTCTCAGATACAATCCCCAGGAGCGGCTGCCCCTGTCCCGGATCCCGAAGCACCCGTGGGTCCAAGCCCATTCGCAGAGTATGCTACCTCCCTGAGCCCTGTCTGCCTCTGTTCCTTGCTGTTTGTTTAGGGAGCTCTCCTGGCTTTGCTATGTTCTCTGTCTTGTTTCTTCTAAAATGCACAATGATAATTAATAAAAGTTGAATAATTTTGCATTCCTAACTAGTACTCAGGGCCCATGCCGCCGCTGCCGCCGCCGCGACCACCACCACCACCACCACCACCCCCCGACCTACCTCAGAGAGGGAGTGGGCACAGAACAGCCAAAATCTGCGATCTTCACCTCACCCCTGAATCCCAGCAGCCGGTTTTCTGGCTTAATATCCCTGTGAATCACTTTCTTGTCATGGCAGTAAGCCAAGGCATCTGCCAACTCCTCTGTTATCTGGTCTTCATAGTTGTGTGAGTGTGTGACTATGTTGAATCTTAGTTTCTTGTGGAAACTCTTTCCATGAGAGTTGCCCGAGATTATGCCCTCCTGCCCTGGAGATGGTGACTTCCCGCTCCTTGAAAACTACTGCCTACTTTCTTGCAGATAAATGCCCTGAAGGGTACATAACCTGTCACCTATCACAGTGGCTCTTTGACTCAACTATTCCCCACGTGTAAAACAGGACTGTCATCAACACAAGGGTCCACTCTCTTTGTACTGACATTCAACATGCTGCTGTTTCTGAAATGTTTTCCTGCACATCAACGCCACTCAGTTCGCAAATGAATCCACTAGCACTTCAGTGTTGTGTCATAGTCTGCTTGCATCAGAATATGTCACCCCTGTAATAGATACATCACCTCTTCTGAAGTCACACTTCGCAGCAATTTGGGGAGTCCCCTTCCAACCATCTTCTATAACCTCCTGCCACAGTTTTATGTGGCAGCTGCTCCCTGCATTTATTGTGATAAGCTGACTGTACTGGAGTAAAGATCCAGAATCCTCAGCTGTGAGCTCAAATATGTTTTCTGCTCAATGCAGCCATTGTTTTCACCAATGTTTCTCTTGACTGAAAACACTTCGTATGGAGTTCGCCTTGTTAATGTTACTCTCGCCGGTATATTCCACAGGCTCCTATCGTTGGGAAATGTCCAGCAGACACAGGACTGGTTTCTATTATAACCAGACCCACTACTTAAATAATTTAGCCACTCAGCTCTCAGATGAACAGCTCACACTGTTGCAGATAAGTTAAGGCACTGGCTCATGCCTTTCAACCTGCACCTTCAGTGCTTACATCTTTATGCTTTCTAGCTTCATCCTTAGTTTTTTGGAGTCAATATTTCAATTAAACACTTGAAAATTCCTAATTAACTGGTTCATACATATGAACCCTGCAATTGATACATGTTAGGTTCTTGATAAACTCACATCACTGGGCACATTTTGGGAAGACAGATAAAGAGAAAAATCACTAGGGCCACAACACTGACTAGCAGGTGATATATGTTTACGTAATGAAAACTCTGACATGATTTACACTAG